AACTGATTTATTTACATGTGAATAGTCATTTTCGTAATAGAATACTTGTTTTTCTTTTCTTTTTAAACTTCCACCCCTGTATATGAATGAGAAAGTAATATAGATTGTATAACTTATATCAAATATATTATAATCTTAAACTAAAATGGCGATAGTTGTGTTACTGATAGGAATATTAACTCAAACAATATTAGGTATGTTATATATCTTATTATAATCATATAGTACATATAATCATATGTTGTATAATCATAATTTATTCATTATAGCTTCAATTATTCATTGTGTTAATGTATAAATACTAATAAACCGAATCTTAGAGGTCCAATGTTGAAATTACTTATCTGTTATTGGGATCATGTATGTTCTTTCCCCTTTATTATTGATATAATCATTGAATATGGATTGTATATACGTTGATTTACTTATTACTTAAATATTCTCCTTCTATTCTAGGTCAAGATATAATAAATACTGAACCTAATAAACTAATTGATTGAGAATCTGGTAGTGTTACCTGTTATTATAACAATGTAATAGACAGTAACTGTATAAATATGCTCCTATTCTAGGTCAAGTTATAATAAATACTAAACCTAATGAACTAGTTGATGGGGAATCTGGTAGCATTACCTGATATTATAACAATGTAATATACAGTAACTGTATAAATATTCTCCTATTCTAGGTCAAGTTATAATAAATACTAAACCTAATAAACTAGTTGATGGAGAATCTGGTAGCGTTACCTGTTATTATAACAATGTAATAGACAGTAACTGTATAATATTCTCTTTTCTATTCTAGGTCAAGTTATAATACATACTGAACCTAATAAACTAATTGATGGGGAATCTGGTAGTATTACCTGATATTATAACAATGTAATATACAGTAACTGTATAAATATTCTCCTATTCTAGGTCAAGTTATAATAAATACTGAACCTAATGAACTAGTTGATGGAGAATCTGATAGTGTTACCTGTTATTATAACAATATTATACAGTAACTGTATAATATTCTCTTTTCTATTCTAGGTCAAGTTATAATAAATACTGAACCTAATAAACTAGTTGATGGAGAATCTGATAGTGTTACCTGTTATTATAACAATGTAATATACAGTAACTGTATAATATTCTCTTTTCTATTCTAGGTCAAGTTATAATAAATACTGAACCTAATAAACTAGTTGATGGAGAATCTGGTAGTATTACCTGTTATTATAACAATGTAATAGACAGTAACTGTATAATATTCTCTTTTCTATTCTAGGTCAAGTTATAATAAATACTGAACCTAATGAACTAGTTGATGGAGAATCTGGTAGTGTTACCTGATATTATAACAAAATAGACAGTAACTGTATAATATTCTCGTTCTATTCTAGGTCAAGTTATAATAAATACTGAACCTAATGAACTAGTTGATGGAGAATCTGGTAGTGTTACCTGTTATTATAACAATGCTTATACAATAACTTTATCTCGATCTGGTGATGATAGTAATATAGCTAACTGTTTTGTTACTATACAAGAACAAGATTGTAATATCCTAAATCCTGGATGTGAAAACAACTATACCGACTATAGAGAATTCTATACAGCATCTAAAACAACTACTAGTGTAACTATACATATTGATACAGTATCTAAACAAAGAGATGATGGTATCTGGAGATGTAGAGTGGATGAACTTCCATCTGAATCATTTCAAACCAATAAAACTATTAATGTTAAAGGTAATTCTATGTTACTAGAGCTTCATTATTTCATCTAGTTTTAATTAAATAGACTCTTCATAATCATTTATAACTAAAACAAATTCGAAATGTTGTCTGCACTTGAAATAGATATGAAAGGAAAAAACCGGAAAAACATATTCCAAGATGACGAGTAGGAACTATATGAGATAAATAAACAGGAAAGGAATGACTTTTGAATTGTTAATTCCTACAAATCACATATTAATAGATTTCAATTTCATTTTGCCTTGTTATTTCTAGTACCAGTTAAAGGTGTCGAAATAGAAAATAAAAACAGTCTAAATCTAGTAAATGGAGTGTCTACCACAATGAATTGTAAAGTCACCAATAATCCTGATCCAGTAATAAATTATAGATGGTTTATAGTAGAAACAAATCAAACATTATCAACATCATCATCTTTCCAATTGACACCAAATAAAAATCAAAATGGTCAAACTCTATCATGTTCAGCAGACAATGGATATGGTAGTAGTAAATCTGATACTGTTATTCTAGATGTTCAGTGTAAGTTCTTTATAAAAATATGTAACTATAATTCAATTTTGCCGCACCATATAACAAAAGAAATTGATCGGTCGTAAGCGAAAAAAATGATTTGAATAATATGCAAATTTAGTACAAAACATGAAAAAGAAAATATTCTGAAAATCAAGATGGTACTAACAATTTAAATTTACGCTAAAACTCTAAATATAATAGGTATAAAAATTGACCAAAATTTCACATACCATCTGAAAAAAAATCTTTGTTACAACAGATTATATTCTAGCATGTTAATATAGACTAAGCTTAAATCATTTTGAAATCAAGCATATTGTGTATTTCTCTTATTAGATAAACCAAGTATATTTTATATTTCTGTTGTTAGATAAACCAAGTATATTTTATATTTCTGTTGTTAGATAAACCAAGTATATTTTATATTTCTGTTGTTAGATAAACCAAGTGTAAAGATAGAACCTGAAGTATCTGGTAACTATAAAATAATAGAAGGTAATATAGTAGAATTAAAGTGTACTGTAACTGATGCTAATCCTAATGGTAGTTTGAGTTATAAATGGTATAAAGATACAACAACTACTCCTACAGGACAAGTTGGTTCTACAGTTCAAATATCACAGAAAGGAATATATATATGTTCTGTTTCTAATGGAATTGGTACACCAGGAATATCAGATTCTGTTACTATAGATGTTTTATTTCCACCAAGAGTTACCCTGACACCACAATATCGTGTTATAGAATCAAATACCCTCACTATACCCTGTAGAGCTACATCTAATCCTATACCTAATAATTATACTTGG